CTTATTGCTGCATTATTTGGTTTACCTCCGTAACATAAGGTAAATCTGTACTTGGAGAATGACATTGGATTCTTTCTGCAGTTGCCGATATACTGTTATGGCGAGAAGAGAAGAAGTCATTCACGTGTTTTCTTGCTTCGTTTCTATTGTTTTATTGGTTTTTTCTACGTGGAGGAACTTTTATATCATCGGTAGCTCAGCTTCTGTTGTGTATCGTTGTCGTCCTTTATGGATATGGCTTCATACCAGCAAACATGTAAGTATGCTCATGAAGCCGAAATGCTACTTCAGCATAGCTTCTAGAAATTACAATTCTGAATCTTTTATGACTTTATGATTACTGTCTTTATCGTGGAAATGGAAGTGAGATGTTTCACATCCAAAAGTCTAGGATCCTTGATTTATTTTTCTGCAATTATTTTTTCCCATGATTTATTTTTCTGCAATTATTCTGATTTTTTTTTTTTTTTTTGTTAATCATCACTATTTTAATTTTAGTTGAACTGATGCTGAGATTTTACCATCAGATATGGGTTTCCTGTCCAGAAATTATCTGCGACTATGTTTGGACCATCTGATACAGTAGTCAGAGATTCGATCATGGGCATAGCATGCTTGTGGAATAGAGGTGTACATAACGCAAGATCATTGGCCCGAGGAGAAGATTGGAATTATTTTTTGAAGGTATGACTTCGACACTCGTACTTTGTTTGTATAAGGCGCTGCTGTGCTGTTTGTGAAATTTTGTATTTCATGAAGTTTTGCGTGCACTTTGTCCCAGTATTTTCTTTAAGTGCAAACCGAGAGACCCAATAGGCACGGTGACAAAGAAACCAAATCTCTTTTTGTTGTTTATGAAATACATAATGTGTGGAAAAAAAAAAAGAGGAAAATATAGTGTTAACTTCCAAGGTTATGTCATACGTTGTTGAATTTTAGAAGGTTTAATAGGGCTTGATTGGTCCAAATCTATTCAACATTCTTTTATATTTTATGCGTAATAAAACTATTTCAATTTTTTGTTTAACAGATACATGAATTTTCAAATACTTTAAGTCTTAGAAATATCAAAGTTTTGATCATATAATTATGCACGATCAAAATTTTAGCTTTTACTGCTTCAAATTCATCTTAAGTTAATAGAATAGTTGGTTCTAAATGGTGCTACTTACCGTTTTGTGTTGTATATTTTCACATAATTAAACGTTTCACTGATTGTACAGGCCGTAACATTTCTTTACCTCCTCAAGCTGTTTCTCTCACGATCCTTGACTTTGCTGATAGGCATGGGTAAGTTACAACTAAGTTTATTCCATAACACCAGGCAGTGCTTATTCCTCCTAACTTAGTTCAATAACTAATGGTAATAACATTGTAGGACTGGTGTTTGCATTCACTGCATTCTTTGTGTATGAGCAATACGAAATCGAGATTGATGGATTTGCTAAGTTCCTTTTCATCAGCATCATGGAATTAAAGAGTGTACTTGCAAGTCATTTACCACCTCCATTGATGTCGTTTCTCTGGTGTGACAAATTATCACATCAACCTAAAGAAGTTGCAATGTCAAAGCGTTAGAGCAGAATCCCAGAACGTTCAAGGATTGGAAGATTGTTCGAGTGGATCTCCTTCCGATCTATCCGTTAGCTTTCTCAGGTTTCTACCAGAATATATAAAGTCTTTCCCCCCAGTAGAAGCGAAATGGAGCTAATCTATTTTAATAGAAAACTCGACCCAGGTTCTTATCTTCTCACAACATTTTATACCATCTCTGTGCAATAAAACGTTGAAATGCGATGCGTAGTGTAGCAGGCGCAACCGAGATGTTGATGAATATTTGGGTTGAGTCTGGCTTTTCCCTCCTTTTCTATCAACAACATTACTTGTACTATTGGTAGCCAGCAGCTAGGGCAGTTTTTCAAACGTGAGGCTGCAGTTTCATTTTCCTTGAAACACCGTACAGTCTTGAAGATGATACAAAATCCCTCTCCCCTTGAATGCAACGCAATTTCTTAAGCCTTTTACTTTGTGATTTAAAGTTACTTTGGTTTCTAAATTTTAAATTTTGTTCTATTTTGGTCTCAGAACTTTTTAGGAACGTTTACTTTTAGAAGACTATCTATTAGATGATGATTCTGTCAATATATTCTACATTTTCATCTTTATTTTTTGAACTATTTGAAAGTTGTTTTATAGAACAGTTTGGGCCTCGGGAATATTCCAAATGTGGAGGGAAGGTCAAAAGAAAGATGTTCATAGTAGAAAAACAGGCACTTGAACCAAAAGAGGAAGAAGCTCTAGGTTGGATAACTCAACCTTGATTGATGTACATACATGTGGAGTACATCAATCAGGGTTCTGTTAGAGACAGGTCCTTAATAACTCTAATCAAAGAATTATAACAAGGAAAAGGTGTGAAATAGAGAGATTTTTCTTTAGATATAATTATAGTATACTAAAACGATGTATTATGCGGTAAGCGACCGCCCGTCGGCGATCACCGTTGCCAAGAATGACATAGTCGCAAAAGTTTTGTAGTGCTATACACCAATGTCGTTAGAGGCATATACTAATCTAGATAGTTTTTTTTTTTTTTTTTTGTCCATGTTTGAAAGTTGAAAACCATAATTATAATTATAAGATCCAAGTTTTAGGAACCGTTTTATTTAATACACTTTTATTATTCGGTCAAAGAGTAGGAGGATGCTCTTACACCAAAACCTTTTTTTTAAAAAAAAAAAAAAAAAAAGAGAGAAAATTGTGGATGAAGATAACTTTAATATTTGTGAGCTTTGTATTTTATTAAAAAAAAAAAAAAAAGCAAAGAGGACAATTATCTTTTTCTTGTGTGAGCCCAGCTTTTGTTATAAAATTATTAAAACCCTTGATTTAATTTTGTTGGATTGCGTAAATTCGGACCTGATTCCCTCTCTACAGCTGTCCTTTTCTCTCATCATACCCTGCAAAAGTCATCGTTCCCCATTTTTCTTCTTCCTTCCCCCATTTCTTGCGCCTCTCTCTCTATTCTCTGCCGCGTGTTTCTCTACTACTATCCCGTTTCGATTTCTGGTCGTAGTTTGGTTTTCTTGCAATCTACGCCTTGGTTGTTGTTGTGTTCTTCCTCTTCATTTCCACCACTTGATTCGTAATGCTTGCTTAAGTCGAGGGCTTTTGATTTGGTTTGATTCCTTGAATACCCATTTTGGAGCTTTGGTTGAATGTGGAGAGCTGTGCTTGTTTGATGAAAAAATTTGTTTAGTTGCTTTACAAGGGTGTTTTTAGTTCATGGAGAAGGACAAACCCCAAAGCCATTCTGGTGGATTTCTTCCCCCATCGAGTCGCTACTCGAGTCTTTCACCAACTGCAAGTAGTTTCAATGGAAAATCCGAGACTGCTTCGTGTTCAATGTCACTTCCTCCAATGGCTCCGAGTCCTAATTCTTCCGATTCGGGTCAATTTGGTCGTGGAATGTCCAGTGATTCCAATCGGTTCAGCCATGATATTAGTCGGATGCCTGATAACCCGCCGAGAAATATGGGTCATCGACGTGCCCATTCCGAGATTCTGACTCTTCCTGATGATATTTGTTTTGACAGTGACCTTGGTGTCATTGGTGGTGCTGACGGGCCTTCCTTTTCTGATGATACTGAGGAAGATTTGTTGTCCATGTACCTTGACATGGATAAATTCAATTCTTCCTCTGCTACATCTGCAATGCAAGTTGGGGAGTCATCTTCCGCTGCTGTAGAGGCAAGATCAACTCCTACTTCAGGAATTGGAGCTGCAACTTCAAAGGATGATGCTGCTGTTGGTTTGAAGGAGAGGCCAAGAGTCAGGCACCAGCACAGCCATTCCATGGATGGCTTGTCAACCATAAAGCCTGAGATGCTTGTCTCGGGGTCTGAAGAAGTCTCTGCCGCTGATTCCAAGAAAGCTATGTCAGCTACAAAGCTTGCTGAGCTTGCGCTAATTGACCCCAAACGTGCAAAGAGGTATAAATCCTTCAACTTCGTTGGAAGCTCTATCTTAGTTGCAAGAAATGCATGACGCTATGAAGTGATTTTGTCAATTTTTGACAATAAGTTTAGTGTAAGCAACTATTATCATTGCAACTTATTACTAGTGAATAAACTTAAATTTTGGTAGATCATGCTGTACATCATTGCGCTCTAATGAATGAAAATCTTAAATTTTGGTAGATAGAAGCCAAATCATTTGTCTTGGTTGTGTATGTTCTTTGTTCTTGTAGTATATCTTCTGATGAAATTACTTCATTTTCCATCAAGATAAAATAGTTTGTCTATCAAGACTTTTTTTGATGAATTTTGGCTCTAAGAAAGTGGAACCCAATCATTTGTGTCGAGTTCTGATGCATCATTTTACATTTAAATGGTGTTGAGTTCATTTCATTTACATGGATTGTGTTTGTGTGTTCTCTTAGAGCTTGAAGAGCCTCGAGCCCTTTTTTTTTTCCATGTTTACTACCTCTTTCTCTCCATTTAAAGCCTGTTTTCTCCAACTTTTCCATGTTTCTGATTATTGCTTCTGTACCCTCCAATTATTATTTTTATTTTGTTCCCGATCCAAAAAAAAAAAAAAAAAGGAAAATTTGTTCATAATCCCTCTGTTGTGCATTGCATAGGATATGGGCAAATAGACAGTCAGCTGCTAGGTCAAAGGAAAGAAAGATGCGGTACATTGCTGAGCTTGAACGGAAAGTTCAGACTCTGCAAACAGAAGCAACCTCATTATCTGCTCAATTAACCCTCTTGCAGGTGGTTATCACAAAATTAATCGTGTTTATCATATTTTTGGATGTGTAATTTATGTTTTCATATGATTTTCATTCTATCTGCATTTGAATTTATATAAAATATCTTGCTTTATGTATTGCCTCCTTATTATCAGAGAGACACAAACGGTCTTACTGCTGAGAACAGTGAACTTAAGCTGAGGTTGCAGACAATGGAGCAGCAGGTTCACCTGCAAGATGGTAAGGACCTCTGTAATCTTTGTTTTTTTTGGTGACTGCACATTATAATTGCCTTCTCTTAGCTTTTTATGTAATCTCTCTGTTTTGTAATTAACGAAGGTACTTGTTGGAAGATAATTTTATATACATTTCTTAAATACATAGAGAGTTGCGTTCCTTGGAGTCTCTGTCCTATGACATAGAGATTTTTCGGTTAAGATATGGCCTACGGGTCAGGGGTTTAGTACAAGTATGACCCGAGCGAAGATTTATAGAGACATTGTAAGAGTTGATACAGAAGAGAAAAGTTGATTAGAAGAAGCGTCAGATTAGAACTTGTTAATGATTATAGGATATGATGTGTTTTGTTGAGAGAGACAAAAATTGGCAGCCTATGAGATTCTTGACACAGTTTAGTGGGATGGTTGTAGGAAATTGATCAATAGACATCTGAGGAAGGATTACTTTATGCAGGAAGATGAGAACTTTATTTGGTGATTGTGAAGTGGGAAGATAAGGTTCTTCAGATATTAGAATCTCGCTTCGAGTTTCATTTTGACCTGTATATTGGATTGCGCTCGTGCTTCTAGTGAATATTGAAATAGTTAATGACCGGGCTTCTCTTTGAGTGGACCAACACTCTGAAAGGAGCTGAGCCAGTTTTCTGGTTTTTATTGCGCGTCTCAATTAGTTTATTATTACCGGTTAAACCAATGTACTCAATTTCAAGGTTCAACTGCAAGGTAATCTTTAAACTGATGGGTTTCTTGCTTATTGTCACAATCCTCATTTGCATTAAAGATGTGACACTAGTGTAGATGTTGAAGGAACTTGGATCGGCTATGTAGGAGGCACAAGCACATGGCTTGTCTTACCTTGTTGGTTACTATCTTGAAAACATTGGGTAATGCATGTCGATATTTGGAGGGATTAAGTAATTGGAAACTCGAGGTTTAGAAATGTTTGTAGAATTAAGCAATTGCCATTTTGTTTCTTTGTTTGCGTAGATATTATGGATCAGCTACAATCAACCATATGCTTAAAGAAAACATTTGGCAGCTCTCTCTTGCTGAATAGATCATGCTTGATAGATATCTTATATTGGTTTACACATGGTATCTGGTTCCAGTTAAGAGGTAGTCTGTTGTAGAAATTGTCTTTGAGACTGATTGATCGAGGCCTGATCTCTAATTTCCGAACATCGTGCTTTTAGATTGTTATATTTTCTCGTCAAAGTGAGCATTGGTCACATGTTTGACATATACCCTCGATCAAGAGGTCAAAGTGAGCATTGCTCTCTACGGTTTTTGGACTCAAACAAATAGGCGGTTATATTTTCTTCATGTGAGGCTAAAAATTTATGTGCCTCTACAAATTAAAAGACATTACATTGGTAACTGGCATTTAGGAACAACAATGATGTGAGATCCCACGTCGGTTGGAGAGGAGAACGAAGCATTCTTTATAAGGGTGTGAAAATCTTTCCCTAACAGACGTGAACACTAAAGGGAAGCCTGAAAGGGAAAGTTCAAAGAGAACAATATCTGCTAGCGGTGGACTTTAGCCATTACAATTTACCATACTGTATTAGATTTTGACCCCTTGACATGATAGAAGATTTTTTGAATTAGGGGTAGAATTGATGGGAAACCGTTCTTAATTGTGTCATGAAGACGATTCAATAATTTTCTCATGGGGCTCCATCTTTATTGGCATCTCTTTTGACAGCTCTAAATGAAGCATTGAAAGAGGAAATTCAACATTTGAAAATATTGACTGGCCAAGCAATCCCAAATGGTGGATCAATGTCAAATTTTGCATCCTTTGGAGCTAGCCAACCATTTTACCCAAACAATCAAGCAATGCACACTTTGTTGACTGCTCAGCAATTTCAGCAACTACAAATCCACTCACAGCAGCAGCAGCAGCAGCAGCAACAGCAACAGCAACATTTTCAGTACCATCAGCTACATCAGCTTCAGCAGCAACCAACGGGAGACATCAAAATGAAAGGACCGACATCTTCTCCAAGTTCGAAAGACAACACATCAGATACGTCCTCTCCCTCTTGTTGAAAAAGATAGGCTGTGAACCTACTGGTTCTTAAAGCTTTTGATGGTTAGCTATCAGAAACTTAGCTGCATTTGTTATCCAAATACCACATTTCTGGCCTCCCTACTACAATCTTTGGGTGTTCCCCTCTCCATAAGCATTTTGTTTTCCTTCCCTGTGTCTGTTAATTTATGTGTAATGTTCATTTGTTGTAGACAGACATGTTGTAGTTGCTTTGTTGTTAGATTGTGGATATCACAGTTTCTCTTATTATTTGTAGCTTAATTTTCTTTTCAAGGTTTATTATTATTAACCTTTTTCTTCCTCCACTCATATTCTTTATTTATTTTTTATTTTTTTGTAAAATAAATGTTGTTCTTAATATATGGTTTGGAGATACTCTCATCATCTCCTTCCGATTATATTATAAGTTTCGGCCATATAAGTTTCGTCTCTCAATTTTTGAGTATGTGTGTCCATTTGGTATTGTATAGAATTTTCAAGTTTTTGTCCATTTGGATTTTCAAGTTTTTTAAATCTTCAATTTTGTGTATAATAGTATGCTGGTCTATGAGACTATATTTAAAATATACGAACTATCTATAACTCGAAGTTTAAAGTTCATGGTCTCATCAGGCATGTTTACCGTTCATAGGCTAATAGGTGGGCCATCCATGAACTTGGGGTTTAACTCGAGTCATTTCTCTTCTTTCCTTGCTTGGTGACTCAGTTCTCGTTTTGTTTTGGTCATTTTGATTTGATTTATTTGGCTCGTAGTTTATATGAGTTTTCAACCCGTCTGTCGTGGTTCAATTTCACCTGTAAACACCTTTTATGTAGTTTTACCAGAATAAGAATAAAATGTGCTACATCCATGTGGCTTCCGTTTCTTTTCCTGTAGATAGTTGACAAGTATTTCTTTTCTTTTCTTTTCATTCATAAAGTAAAAAACCTTGGAGAAGAAGTAATGAAATACCGTAGCACTCATCCATGTGGCTTCCCTTTCTTTTCCTCCTCCGTTGTCACTACCATCAACCCCATGTGTCTGCACCTCAACAAGAGCAGAAACAAAAGCAGAAACAGAAACAGGATACCCATAACTGTAAATAACATATACATTCCTTTTTTCCTTCCTTCAAATAAGAAGATAAAACTGATACCAGAGAATTCATCAATCCACAAGATGCATATTAAAAACGTATTGATAACCGAACTAACAAATACATGATACAATACACAAGCAGTCCTTCCGGGGGTGGTGGTGGTGATGGGAGGGATCCTAATGAGAGCACACTCGCAGTCAAAATTACACAAATGAGCTAATCCTCAACAAACTAGAAGGCAGAGAATCTACATATTACGGAAACAAAAATGAGGCAGCTTAATTAGGCTTTGTTCGCTCTATCCTTACATAGCATGTGCCATTCCTGAAGGACTGCAGCTTGAAGTGCAAGGTGCTCGACCTCTTCTGCACTTAATTTCGACAACGTTGATGGTCCCTTACCGTTTTCCTCACTATCTTTCTTCTTCTTCTCTTCTTCACTGTCTTCTTCATCATCGTCATCGTCGTCTGATTTTGGGGTTTTTGGTGGAGGTTGAGCTGCCTTGAGCAAAGCTATCCTCTCCATTGATATCTTCAGCCTCTCTGCAGCAGCCACCTTGACTTCCTCTTCGGGCATGTACTCGACACCTCCATCAGTTATATCATCTAGCCAACCTTGAGGATCAGCTTCAATTTCCTTTGTAATTGATGCATCAGATGCTCGAACAACGAATTTGCAAATCATGGTCGTTGTTTCATCACCTAGATCTACGTTTCTGCTTACTTCACTAGCTCCGAATATCATCATGCCCACAAACCCCCCATACCATGTTTTTGCAGCCAAACAAAGCTACAAGCATTCAAATAGGAAAAGTTAGTAATGGATCGACAGAACTCAATTTATTAGTTAAATTGAAGACGAATTAGCTTCAACTTCCCAGGAATATAACATTTATATCAATCTTAATGTCCAAGTTGGGTTTTCCCCCCTTTTTCTTAAGGGAGCTTAGTGAGTAAAACATATAAAAGAGAGCACAGAACCTACCTGAAACCCTGCCAAAGTTCGAATAATATATGAACAAACACTATGGAAAGGCTTGGTGGACAAAGATTTCAATCCACTCAAAAAAGGAGATGCTCCATATTGCTGCGCAGCAGTAGCCTTGAAGCCAGTTCCCTCATAAGTATAAGTGCCAGTATACTCTACAATTGCAGGTAAGCTTGGCCATAGGCGGAAAAACTCCACAGGAGAAATTTTATGTGGCGAGAGAAGCTCAGTCAACGGGATCTTGTAAGGAAGACACCTCAAAATCACAGGTTCTCCTAGCTCTGGCCTTAAGCTTCTCTTTTGTCTGATAATGTTAGAGTCTTCTTCCGTGTAATCCCCATCGTAATCTCCAGCCCCACCACTTCCGTAGAAGGGGTAGTACAAGACTTGAACCCAGAGGGCACATCTCTCAAAATGTGAAACACCAACTGTCACACTGCACAGAACTGGATCCTGGAAACGGGGGAAGCAGAGTAGTGAGATAGCCTTTCCTTGAGGAACAAGGCAAGAGATAGCAAGTGAACAAGGTTTTTCTAATATCAAGTGAGAAGTTACTTATAATTGATCCCAAAGGCATAATAATTTATTAGGTCATGACCAATAAATTATTAAAGATGTTTCTTAACATTCTCCGAGCACAAGTTTTCAAATTTGTTTAACGAAAAGGGCCAACATTTGAATTACTAGTTTTTTTCAATCATTAGAGATAACTATCTTGCTCTGATGCTTCATTTATCAATATATTTCTTAAAAAGAAACAAAATCTTCATTAACGAGCACATCTATTTATTTCAAAAACTTAATGCTAGGCAGTGGTTGACTCAATCAAACTCACTAAATTGATAATTCCATCGAGCTATATATTCTTGTCTACAATAGGCTTCTAAACAATCACAGTCGGAAGTAATTTAAAATGAAAATAGCTGCCGTATTTTTTCTGTCACGTAATGGAAAGTTGCTGTCCAACATACTAACCACTAAAAAAAATGGAAAGTATAACCAAAGAAAAGAAAAATGATACACTACAAATGGGTACCTGTGACACAAGATGACGCAGTTGTCTCACTGCTTGAGGAGAACCATCCATGAAATATAATGCTCCAGACAACCCCACTCGGATATCCACACGATTTAGTTCAAGCTCAGTTAAATTTAGAACCTGCAACATGATACACTCACACGTCACCCAGAAGATAACCAAATAAATATTCAACAGATAGTAAAAGGATGTGAAGCATGAAAACATTTTCAGATATTCTTTTATTCTTGATTGTAGATAATAAGGGATATTTG